CGGAGAATGGATTGAGAGCAGCCCTGAGGAGAAGGATTTGAGGGTGTCAGATGAGAAACTAAACATGAGCCAGCAGCGTGCGCTCACAGCCCAGAAGGCCAACCGGATCCTGGGCTGCATCAAAAGAAAAGTGACCATCAGGTCCAGGGCGGTGTTTATGCCCCTCTACTCTATTCTCGTGAGATCCCACCTGGAGTACTGCATGCAGGTCTGGGCTCTCCAATGCAAGGATGTCGAGGTGTTGGAGCAGGTCCAGAGGAGGGCCACAAAGATGCTCAGAGGGATGGAACACCTCCCCTATGAGGACAGGCTGAGAGAGTTGGGGTTGTTCTCCTGGAGGGGGGAAGGCTCCAGCGGGACCTAATAGCAGCCTTCCAGTACCTGAAGGGGGCCTACAGGAGAGATGGGGAGGGGCATTTGACAAGGGCATGCGGCCACAGGATAAGGGGTAGTGGATTTAAACTGGAAGAGGGCAGACTTAGACTAGATATTAGGAAGAAATTCTTTACTGTGAGGGCGATGAGACACTGGAACACGTTTCCCAGGGAAGCTGTGGATGCCCCATCCTGGTCAAGGCCAGGCTGGTTGAGGCTTTGAGCAACCTGGTCTAGTGGAGGGTGTCCCTGCCCATGGCAGGGGGGTTGGAACTCGATGATCTTTTAAGGTCCTTTCCAACCCAAACCATTCGGTGATTCTATGAAGTTCCCTTGCTTTCGTAGGTCTGATTTAAAGTGAGTGGGGTCAAAAAACGATTGCTATGTTAGGAGATAATTACACTAAAAAACCAGAAGTAAATAACAAACTCACAATAAAGTATCTGATTTTTTTTTTTTTCAACGTGGCAGAATCAGGTTAAACAGCAAAGCAGGATGTGAGAACAAATACTTCTGCTAATAACAGTAATTTGTTTTGTGATCTTGTAATTCTTACTCAACCAGCAGTTAATTACTATCCTAAATCTACTCTTTTTTGGGATACTGTGACTTGGCATATCTCCACATCCAGTGATTTTTTCAGGCTTGCTTCAGGAAAGGTACTTATTTCATTACCTAATCATTACATTTCTCCACTTTTTTTTACATCATAAGATGACATACACTATCCTTTACAATACACACACACATATACATACATATATATATATCTGTAAAAGTTACACAGATAGGTGATGGAATCACCATTAAAGTACCTGTACTCCACTATTTATTGGTCCTTGCTTAGCAGGATCAAAAAACAACTACTCATTAGCAGGAATTATGGACAGTTTTAACTACAGAGGCAGATGTTTTAGAATCAAAGGAAAAAACAAAAAAGTCCTTTCATTTTTTCTAGAAGGATGAACACAGTGATTAGGGGTGGCACATATGCTGTATTCCTCCCCACTCCCAACCTTCTGCACCAGCTCTTCCCAGCTAGCTCCTTCGGTGAGGAGTGAAACTCTTGCCCCAAGAACCCTCTGAAAGAGGTCTAAGCTGGACAGAGAGATGCTCAGGTAAACCTCGAGGACTAATTTTCTAGTATTGATTGCCACAATAGGGCAAGCATGGTGGAATTCTCCATGCCATCTTCTGAGGACTGGATTCAAATGACAAAGTTTAATGGGAACAGGGGACAGGGATAAGGAAAAGGCATAATGTTGACTCCAGAGTAATAAGATGTCTTGGTATGTTCTGACACTTAGGCAGGTAGTTTTTTTTCCTCTTTAAAAAACCTGGCATTCACTACTCAACTCTGAAAATCTGATAAATTAAGATCCAACAGCTTTTACTATTTGCTTGAATGCCTTCCTTTTTAAAATTACACTAATCCAACAGGAAGAGACTTCATAATACTATCAGACTAGCCTGTGAAAGAAACTGCAACTCAACCACAGAGACACTTTTTCCCAATAAACAGTTACTAGCAGACTGCGGACACCGCTGTCTTTCCTTAGAGATCTGCAGCAGGGAAGGCTAACTGAGCAGGTGATTTTCACCCCCAGCAGTGTCCCGGCATCAGTCAGTGCCATCAGCCACCACTGCCACTCACGTACCGCTGCCTGTCGTCAAGAGCATCTGAGCTGCTTCTGCCAAGAAGGTTAACTCTCACAAAACTCTCTGGTGAGGTAGCAGTACCCAAACCTTTCCAAAGGAAAGAAAGACTCCGCCACAAACTGTGAAGGGTTATAGCTATATTACATCGCCCTCCACCTTCTAAATCAAGGAAAACAACATTTTCAGTTCAGCTGCAATGCCAAATTGGAAGCACACTCTTTCCCCTCCTTCCTCTCTCACTCTTTATGGTCTTGCAAAAGACAGTAATGAGGCACTTGAGAGCCTCTCCTGTGTGCGTAATGCTTACTGTACCACAGCTGAGAGTCACTAGCACAAAGCATTACACCTACTTCATTGAAGAGATAAGCTATTACCAGCATCAGTGCGGTGAGGTAAGCCATGGTTAATAGGTTAATAGAGAACTCCAAGCAGACGCGACTGGCACATGGTAGCATTTCATGTGTACCACACTCAAAAGACAACCTGTTTCTTGGAATAGCAGCTTTAGAGGTAGCTACCAACATTATGCCTGCAAGGAAAAATCTTCATTGATTTGACAGATAAAGAAACTGGAATACTCTCAAACAAGCTATCTTGCCAAGCAGGGTTTCTCTATGTGCGGATGCACACTTTTTCTCTTCCCCACAGAGGGCATGTTAGGGAACATAAGGGCCCTTTCCCCAAATCACGTTTTTAATTTTGCATCCAACCAAAGAGTACAGGCAGACAGGGAATGAATGCCAGATTGACTGATAAGCTAATACCATATTTGTTTAGGCTCTGAAAGTCAGAAATACTTGTACAGTGCTCACAATTTTTGTATTCCTTACCTGGCCCTGCAATGTTTAATTCTGTAGCACAGACACTGACAGAATGTCGGAAATATTGTTTAGCAGCAAGCCCTCCAAGTACTGGAGAGCTTTGAAAAGAAATGGCAAAGAACATGAAAATCAGAACACTGCAGGACAGCTGTATCTGAAGGATACATGTATCCTGGATAGATGATTGAGACTATTTATATATATATTTTTTTAACAGCTCTGGCAAAACAGTTTCCAACATAAGTAACAAGCTTACATTTCAAATGCTGACACAGACACACATCTCCCAATTTACAATGGACCTGTCTGCTTTGTGTCCATGGTGGAGAAATGCATTTTCACAGTCTACAGTGAGTCTAAGTGGCAGCACTCAAAGTACATCACCACTCTGTAATATAAAGCAAGAGCACCTAATGATTCAGCAGAAGAAGGACCCACAAGCACCTGATGCCTCTGAATCACCATAAACATGTTTCAGCTGCATATAAAATATTGTTACAGGAAAGGGCACACTGGCCACAGCACAATAAAAGTAGTAACTTTAGAAGACACACGGAAAAAGCAGTACTAAAGAAAGGAGGCAAAAAAGGAGTTAAACGCGATACAGCATTTAAGCTAAAGAGAAAACACTCCTCAGATGCTCTATGCGTGACTAAGCAGGAGAATAAACCAGCCAAAATCTGATGGTGCACCACAGAGATCACTGTTGAGACCGCTCTTTTCCAACTACTACTAACACAGGAAAGCAAATACAAGGACTTAATTAAACTTGAACATGAACGTGAAACTATAAACAGTAGAGTACTGCAAGTACAAAGGCAGAAGAGTAACACGTTATGCAATTGTGCAGTAAACTTCAATCATATACAGAGTTTAAAATCAAATTGTAATTTATACCCACCAGAAAATGCATGCCAACACACTTTCCTTAGAAATATTTTGGAAAAGTGGCAAAGTCAAAAAGAGCAAAGACAAATCAGAAAGGGGAATGTGGTGGGTTAGCCCTTGGCTGGG